TCGTGTCATGTACACTTTAACTGAGCACGCAAACTCATTTTTAAATACCGCGTAGTTTGAGCCTAGACTGATCAATGGCCGTTTTCACGGCAATAAAGACAGATTATCTGTCTGAGACGGATAATCCATCTTCAAAAAGTCCGTCAAAATTGATTGTGCATCCGAAATTAAGACCGTTTCGTTTTCAAATTAAGACGTCTTATCTATCTAACGGTCAATGTAAACCAATGATCATGAAATAATTTAGAAGTGCTAACATTTCAACTAAAAGAAATTTCTTAAGTTCAGAAAGGTATACAAATTTTTGGATAACTTTTCCATGATATTCGGCCGGTCTTTCTACAAATTTACTTACGATTTTCGGGCACTGTGTTTTTCACATTTTTCCACCAAAATATTGGGATTACAGTCGACTCCCGATAATTCAAACTCTCTAGGGAAATTCTAAAACACAAAACACTCCTGTTCTAAATTAAAATACATGTATCTCTGCGTGTACAAAATGTAATTGTTTGTTCGAGGCAAGTTTTTTTTTCAGTTCAAGTCTGAAAATGACCGTTTGCCACCATATCGTTGCCCTACATGAAATTTAACTAAGCATACAAGGTGATACAAGGTCAGCAAGTTAAACCCCCTTTTTTTAATCTCACTGTTGATGATATTTATGCGGCATAGGTTTTACTGAGATATGGTACGATAGTGATATTGTTCTGAGCATATATAATGCTACCTTTGTTTCTAAGGCTTTATGGTTCGTGATTAATTAAAGTAAATTTCGGGGTGCGACATTCAGTTTTATAGCAGCACTCTCAAAGCTGAGATCCCATTCACCCTGGTGATTTGGAAGAGAGCAGATCGAAAACAACAAGAGCTGTAAGGTTTATATCTTACTTCAAGTCTACCATAATGGTAAGTTCTGGACAGGAAAAGGTTTTGCAATGTGATTTTATTAATTCTTATTGTTTGTTTTACTCACGACTCAACTTTACTTCCAGTTCTTGACGGATCATTGATCCAGTTTCGCCAAAATTATTTATATTCCGCAGACTGCAACAAAAGACGTGAAAGATGAAATGAAGATTAAGCTTCATATGGACGGCGACGTTAACGGGTACAAGTTCAAGATTGAAGGAAATGGACAAGGAAAGCCTTACGAGTAAGTAAAAAAAGTTAAATCATTGAAAGCAGGCTTCAGACCACATTGCTTCAAACTGGTATGTTCAGAAGAGATTTCAGTATACATTTTTGGTTTTGCTTGAGTGTAAGAGATTAAAGGGGCTGTGTCACGGTAGTCCAGTTCATTTTGTTTAATTTTGCCAATTACTCGCCCTCAATCGCTATGGAACTTAAAGTAAGCAAAGAAATTACATGTAAATGACAAAATCAGAGAACAATTTCTTTCACGGTTAACTCTTTTTTACCCTATTTACGGCTAACGGTTAAAATTTTTCAATTTTTACGGCTATCGACTAAATTTTTGGCCGTTTTACGCCTATCGGTTAACCCCATTGAGACCCTCATATAAGAGTGCATTGCAAAAGAAATTTCTAAAGTTCAGAAAGGCTAAAAATTTTGGATAACCGTTGCATGCCCACGTTAAATCCATGGGCTTATATATAACTTCATAAGGGGTTTGGGGTGGGGGGCTTATATCCGGTGGGTGCATATAAGCGAAATAGAAACAAAAACATTTCTAAAGGACGCGATAAGACATTTATCGTGCGTCACTCCAAAACATTAGAGTTGAACAGAAGTGTTAGAAACGAGTAGTGGAAACAGGGAGATATTTGTTCCCAAGACTCCCGAACACTTTTCTTGCACTCTGTATGAAACGCTTCGCAACAAATTTTTTCATGATAAAATCATTAAAAAATATAACTTTTTTAACGATTTCGATGTAAAATCAAAAATTTTGTTCCTATTTAACAATAATGATCCATTTATTTGTAAATCAGTTTCTGCTTTTATTTTTGAGATTATGGATTGTAGACACTATCATGTAATTTCCAAAGTGACTTAACCAATTAATTAACTATTTACTTTTATAGAGAATAGGCAATGACATGTATGTAAATGGTAATATCTTAATAAATTGTTTTTGTCGTTGTTGTTGTTGTTACTTGACAACGTCTTGAAATGTTTAGATTTCCGGTCATGTAACTTACGCTGTGTTTTACTGATGTAAACTTCACAACAATCCCAGCAACAGTTTTGTAGACAACCTTGGACATAAGAGATCGAGCTAATCTATCCTTATAAGGGGAAAAAGACTTGATGTTATCACCAGCTCTGTGATTGAAGCTTTCTATTTGCCGGGTGCTGCCCTGGTGCTTGGTCATCAGCGGGACAGAAAAAAGCCTGAAAAAGCATTTCTGTTTGCAAACCTTTGTTGCTTTAATTAACATCAACGATCGTATTCAGTATAATTAATAAGATCTCACTTAACTGTTAACTTTTCATTTCTCAGTTAAGTACAAAATTTTTGGCCAATTATCAGTGAACTACTAACCCCACTGGCACCCTCTTTTTTCAACAAAGTTAATCAAAAGTCGCGTTGAAACTACACGTGAAATCTGACGCTCAGAAGGTGAAGTTGCCCGTGACACACCCCAGAAGGTATCCGGTAACCTTATTACACTCTCCAGAAATACCTATTTTTATATATCATTTCTATGTGCGATGAAAACATCATAAATCTCAGTGCCTCTTATGTTGAAAATATTCTAAATTGTTATGCATCCGAGCTCTAATTAAACCGCTAATTAAACTTTCTTACCATACGAGTAGCGTAGAAGCCGTACGTAGCCAAGTAATTTTTCTTTTATGATAATATTCAATTGTTCCTTTCTTTCTTACTTAACTTTTATTTTCCTTTTTTTTTTCATTTGTTATTGTTTTGGTACTGAAATCTTCATGTCGAAGATAAAGTCAATAAAGTCTATAAAGTTGTATTAAAAGTTTAAAAAATTATCACATATCTCAAATATTGCAAAAATGCAGACGGCACGAATTTCTGTGTAACAAATTTGTGCCGTCTGAGTTTGTCTTTAGGCAATCTACTGTGCTACACAGCCGTTTTTAGTGTCGTCACGCAACGCTCCTCCTTCTAAGTTGCAGGCTTAACATAATTAGTTAATTCATATTTGATTATTAAACGATTAATAAAAGAGTTTTTAAAACGTGTTATGGTTTTGGCATTTTTAAGTGACCCTGCCATGCGAGTGTATATCTAGTGAGTCATGTATATTACAAAATAGGATTTGACCCATTACCTACTAAGCTAACACAAGAGCCATTATGGCTCTTGGCTAACACTGTTACAACCATGCATGGATAGTTATTTCGGGGGAGGGGGGTGGGTGGGAGTGTGCCGCTACATTTAGGTTATTACCAAAATCGAAACCTTTAAAGCAAGTATCCTCCACTGATTTACATTTTAATGTCACTGAGTTGAGCTAAATTAATTCAAAGACCAATGCATTCATATCTGTATTAAAATTTAAGTAACCATTCAGAACAGGCCGAAAAACCTACAGATGCAATGATTTGGTATCACATGCGTTACACGTTAAAACGTAAGCAAATCAACTGACGTCATGTGACGTCTCAGCCTGGCTTTGATCTTAACTTGTTCCCAGTCTCTCGGACGTTTGTACACGGAAAAATGCAGTTTTTCGATGGTCAAAATCGAAAGATTTTTTTGGAGGACACATTTTTGAACTTCAGAAATATTAAATACCCATATTGAAGGACCAAAAACAGTGAAAAGAATTTCGTGTCATACACTTTAACTGAGCACGCAAACTCAGTTATAAATACCGCGTGGTTTGAGCCTAGACTGATCAATGGCCGTTTTGGAGGACACATTTTTGAACTTCAGAACTATTAACTACACATATTGAAGGACCAAAAACAATGAAAAAAATTTCGTGTCATGTACACTTTAACTGAGCACGCAAACTCATTTTTAAATACCGCGTAGTTTGAGCCTAGACTGATCAATGGCCGTTTTCACGGCAATAAAGACAGATTATCTGTCTGAGACGGATAATCCATCTTCAAAAAGTCCGTCAAAATTGATTGTGCATCCGAAATTAAGACCGTTTCGTTTTCAAATTAAGACGTCTTATCTGTCTAACGGTCAATGTAAACCAATGATCATGAAATAATTTAGACGTGCTAACATTTCAACTAAAAGAAATTTCTTAAGTTCAGAAAGGTATACAAATTTTTGGATAACTTTTCCATGATATTCGGCCGGTCTTTCTACAAATTTACTTACGATTTTCGGGCACTGTGTTTTTCACATTTTTCCACCAAAATATTGGGATTACAGTCGACTCCCGATAATTCAAACTCTCTAGGGAAATTCTAAAACACAAAACACTCCTGTTCTAAATTAAAACACATGTATCTCTGCGTGTACAAAATGTAATTGTTTGTTCGAGGCAAGTTTTTTTTTCAGTTCAAGTCTGAAAATGACCGTTTGCCACCATATCGTTGCCCTACATGAAATTTAACTAAGCATACAAGGTGATACAAGGTCAGCAAGTTAAACCCCCTTTTTTTACTCTCACTGTTGATGATATTTATGCGGCATAGGTTTTACTGAGATATGGTACGATAGTGATATTGTTCTGAGCATATATAATGCTACCTTTGTTTCTAAGGCTTTATGGTTCGTGATTAATTAAAGTAAATTTCGGGGTGCGACATTCAGTTTTATAGCAGCACTCTCAAAGCTGAGATCCCATTCACCCTGGTGATTTGGAAGAGAGCAGATCGAAAACAACAAGAGCTGTAAGGTTTATATCTTACTTCAAGTCTACCATAATGGTAAGTTCTGGACAGGAAAAGGTTTTGCAATGTGATTTTATTAATTCTTATTGTTTGTTTTACTCACGACTCAACTTTACTTCCAGTTCTTGACGGATCATTGATCCAGTTTCGCCAAAATTATTTATATTCCGCAGACTGCAACAAAAGACGTGAAAGATGAAATGAAGATTAAGCTTCATATGGACGGCGACGTTAACGGGTACAAGTTCAAGATTGAAGGAAATGGACAAGGAAAGCCTTACGAGTAAGTAAAAAAAGTTAAATCATTGAAAGCAGGCTTCAGACCACATTGCTTCAAACTGGTATGTTCAGAAGAGATTTCAGTATACATTTTTGGTTTTGCTTGAGTGTAAGAGATTAAAGGGGCTGTGTCACGGTAGTCCAGTTCATTTTGTTTAATTTTGCCAATTACTCGCCCTCAATCGCTATGGAACTTAAAGTAAGCAAAGAAATTACATGTAAATGACAAAATCAGAGATCCGAGACAAACAAACGTACCTCCTGAGCATTATTTTTGAAGTTGCAAGCAGCAGGGATCAACTTTGAAAAACAAGTGTTAGGCTGAATAGTTTTCAAAAACCCTAATTTCAATCCGTTTCAATCTTCGTCAGTTTTGCCCATCCGTGGCATCTGTTTTTTCTGTTATGTTATTTTAACTTTCCTTTAAAGTTTTAAGCGGTTATTTTTATGTTTCTCTTAATTTAACGGGCATTTTGTAATTTCCTAATTTGGCTGAATTTCGTGACACAGCTCCTTTAACCACCAATATGTCTTGGTTTATTGTCAAAATATCTAATGTTATATGAGACTGAACGCGACACACCCTCTGAGTTGTGATCAGACAGGTAACGAAGTGACTCGACATTACCCCCCTCCCTTTCTACATTATCATGTGATTTCAGCCATGTTGCTTTTTCTCAAGCAAGCAGTAGGACTTACTCAGTGTGAAATACTGAGTTATAACAACAACAAAGTCATTAAATCAGACAATAGAATGTTTTAAGGTTTAAATGACTAGGGAAACTGAATTTGCTTTTAGCGGTTTTGAAACCTTGAGTTATGGCCTTTCAACAGTGAAACAAGATTTTTACTTGACGTTGAACCGGGGGGATAGGATAGACAGGATAGCTATGCTGATATATAGACACCCTTATTAATAAAATTCAAAAAGGATAATCTTAATCCAATGTATTGTAACCTTTATTTTTCTATTATTTATATATTTATCTATTCGTATTATTATCCTTTTAACCTCTTTTTGCTCGGTGTTGTAAATCTCTTTAATTTCCTTGTTAAATATCGTTAACTCTCGGACGTACACTCAAATTCATATCCCCACCGTGGTATGGGGGGGGGGGGGGTACAAGTTGCATGGAGCCCCTCCCCGGGGTTTTTGATATGTTGCTAGCAGTATTTTGAAACGATTTGACCTTTATCCTTTGATCTTCGTAACAAGATGAGGTATATTTTAGGGGTGGTGCAGGCAGGGTATGTGTTTAATGTATTTCTTTGCTTTTTAATAAAATTGTTGTTGTTGTTGTTGCATATGAATTCTCCGTTTTCTTACTCAGCTTCGATTTGTCGTTCTGTGTTTTTAGGGGAACACTGACCGTAAATCGTGCCGTCAAAGGGCGGGCGTCTGTAAGGTTTTTCCACTCAGCTTTGATTTCCTGTTCTTGTTGTTGTTGTTTTTTTTTTAAGGGGAACACAAACTATAAATCTTACAGTTACAAATGGCGGACCTCTTCCTTTCGCTTACGATATTCTAACAGCAGCGTTCGAGTACGGCAACAGGGTATTTACCCAATACCCACCAGACATACCAGACTATTTCAAACAGACTTTTCCTAATGGATATTCCTGGGAAAGAACCATGGAATTCGAAGACGGCGCTAAATGTTTAGTTAAAAGCGTCATCAGGTTCGTAAAATCTAAAACCTGCAGAACTCAGTACTGAAGTCTTTTAAGTCGTTGTAGTCCTCCGCCTTTTTCATCTTCGATATTAATTTTTGGAGTCTAATCATAGATTCCGCCAGTTGAAACTATCGTTTTAGCTTTTCTATCGCCTTCATGCTTCGATATTACTGACCAGGATAGTGTCATTGTTTTAGAAATGATTAAACTAAAACTGATGTAAATCTCTTTTTCAAAAAAGTGTTCGTAGGAATAACAAAAAAGAAAAAAAACGAAATGTTTAAGTTTTATGATGTAGTACATAAGTCGCTAAGAATGTTTTTGGTATCTTCACATTGTAGCGTACACTTAGTGAATCTCTCCCCTCTTTCATCAGTTTGCAGGAAGCGGACTGTTTTGAATATAAGATTGACTTTAATGGGATGGGCTTTCCTCCCAATGGTCCAGTTATGCAGAAGAAGACTGTGAAATGGGAGCCATCCACTGAGATGATGTACATGTGTGGTGGGGAACTGAAGGGTGATGTTAACATGGCCCTGTTGCTTGAAGATGGTAGCCATCACCGATGTGACTTCAAAAGTATCTACAAGTAAGTGTTTCAATACTTCTTTAAGTATTCTGTTGAATCTAACGTAGGCAATAGAACACGTTTTTCGTGTTTGCATAGTGATGTACCTCTTGTTTTGCAAAAAAGATGTCATCAAAGTACGAATTTTTTTCTTGCTTAAAATCAGAAGCACCCAATGACCGATCGTTTGTAATACGTCGGATGTGCCTCAAAAGGATTTCTTCATGCTTTAGAAACCTGTTTGGTTAATTTGGAGCTGCCGGCGTAAGAACTATTAACAGCAGGCAAAGTGTGTCCGGAGTGCAAGCTTTAATCTGTGGGGCACGAGGTCCATGCAAGGACAGAGCAACCGGCTCTTGTGCAAAAAATGTACTTATACAGTCAATCTGCATAAGTGAAGAGTAGAACTATTTTTGACACGGTCAGAACCATAGAAGACGTTATGGAATTTTCAAAGAGATACTGACAGTATTGACTGAAGAATGCCTTTAGACCATCTCTTATTCAATGGGTCAACACCAAGAGAGGATAAAGGGGACAGAGAAGGCATCCTCCATACACACCCTATTTCATAGGTAATTCGTCTCGAGTTATTTTTAAGACCACAGATCCCAAGGGGGATTAGACAACAGCCAGTCACATAGCGCGAATGTGTTCCGCGTGGATGACCCACGCTTAGAGCCACGCGTCCTTCACGAATTGAGGCAGGACAAAATGGCGAAAGACGAAAGACTAAAGAGAGATTTCTGCTAAAGCTGTGTCAGCGAAACGGAAATTAAAAAAGAATCGCCCTTCCTCTCTTGTATAGAGCTAACAGTAAAGAATCGCAAAAAAGAATCGCCCTTCCTCTCTTGTATAGAGCTAACAGTACAGCAGGGAAATCCATAACACAGTGAATATTCTCTCAGGAACATTTATAATTTACAGTTTGGAGAGAGCAATTTCTGGCTTGATATTTATTCTTTTATTAGTCTTTTATTATTCAACAAAAATAACACTTGGCGTCCTATAATAATAATGATAATAATTTAATAACTTCTAGAGCGCTATTTACATTCACTGATCAACAGCGCTTAACAACTTAAAAAAACTACGATAAAATTCAAATTTGTAAAACTAATTACATGTACATGAATATTACTTGCTACTTGCTTTATTGTACAAACGACCGGTTTCAATAGACCGGCGAAATTTCTCATTTTATTAAAGCACTGAGGTTACGATAACTTCGAGTTAAACTGATTTCACGGGTTGTCAAAGAGTCGAGCGATTCCCTTTTCCCAGGTGAGCCCCGACTCATTTCGCTTCAATATTCAGAAATGCTCTCGATCTCTTTACGCTTTCATTGCCTTTCGCCCGACATGTTTTGCATGGCGTTTAGTCATGCGAAACCTCCACGAAACATCCACGCAGCGCGCGAGGTAACTTTATCCCGATTCTAAAAATAACTCGAGACGAATTACCTATGGAATAGGGTGTGTATGGGGGATGCCTTCTCTGTCCCCTTTATCCTCTCTTGGTCAATCCTCTCTTGGTCAACACTTTTTACAAGAATATCTCGAGTTGTGTCTTAAACAATAGCTTTTCAGCTTCACCCTTTGCAGTTGAAAGAGGAGTAAGACAGGGAGACCCTCTCTCCGCTTGCCGTTATTTATGATAGCATTAGAAGAGAGAAGGGGAAAAACCCTAACACAGATGTTTTTTTCATCTATCCCCTCTGATCCTAAACATATCTCAAAGCTTTTCTCTCGGCTCTCGTAACCACTAAGTAAGGCCTGCAGACTAGGGGATTGGTGTTAACTTGCAGGCTTGTAAAACCGGATCTCAAAGGGGGGTAGTTTCCTTAGCTTCACAGCTGTTTTTATGGTCGTCACGCAACTCTCCTAACGGCTGCGAAGGAAACTAAAAGGGAGGAGGAACTTAATCATTACACACTCATCGGAGGAGATTAATATAGAGGGTGATTATTATTTGTCATGTTAATAAACTTCGGAAGCCGTTAACTTGGTAACTACGATATTCTGCTAAAATAAATGCTCGCGCAACCTGATGAAGTACTTTTTTGTGGTATTGATCTCAGTTCTTTTCCTTTTTGCAGAGCTATGAAGCCTGGTATTCAGTTGCCGAAATATCACTACATAGACCATCGCATTGAGATTTTGGAGCAAAAAAATAATTACAACCAGGTTGTGTTGTATGAGAAGGCTGCTGCTCGATATTCTCCGTTTCCAGTTAAGGCCGCCAAACAAATAAAAGGCTTAAAGGGCGAAGAGGAAAGAAGTCTTTCTGTGTTTAAGGCATAAGTGCTCGGAGTTAGTTTTTTGTTGCTTTGGATTCAGGAATTCGTTTTTAGATTTGTTAGAGTATAGCTGTGGAGTTCAAGTATAACAAAATAAGTTTTTTTCTTTTATGTTTTTTTCATTTTGTTTTTCTTTCTTATTTTTGCAAGATTTCATCATAGAGATAGAGTTTGTTAAACGTACTTGTAAACAAATACAATAAGAATACTGTAGCTGGGAATGTTGAACTTGTTTCAGGATTTGGGCTTTATGGAGACTCCTTTGTTTTGTTCGTTTGCTCGTTGGTTTTTACTGCGGGCTTGGAGAGTGACTTTTTTCGTTATTTACTGTCCACATATCAGTTAATTTCTTCCCTTGGTTTTTGGTGGATTCAAGATTCAAAATGAGACAGTCACTCAGTTTGAGGAAGACAGTCAGTCACCTTCTCCATCCGATCCTTGAGTTATTTAACTTCTTTCTTAAAATGAATTAAAACCGCTAAATTGCTTCAAGTTTCTGTTATTATTATTATTATTATTATTATTATTATTTAGCTACAATTTGTCACGTAGATAGTGGCAAAACTGCTTTTTGCGAGCGTGTCCTTCGTGTCTTGAATTGTTTCGATGCTTATGGACTCTATTTGATTCATTTCAGCCGCTTTTTCCACCCCTGAAACGTTGTTAGAGCGGGCTTTAACCGATGGAAACTTTAAACTTTTCCAAAATAAGTAATTGAGTTTCTATTTACTATCTGTTAATCGCAGCAGAGAGATATTTACCTTTAATCGGCTCCTGCCGTTAGCCATGAAAAAGCCAAATGTCTCCATCGCATAGAGACTCTTTTTTAAAACAGTGGTTAGTATATACTGAAAGGGAAGGCTGAATGTGATCTTATCATTTTCTATACTCCTCCAAGGGTATCCCATATCTCTATCTCTCTGACTGAACGTGTCACTAAACATCTAGGAAATATATATTATCAGTAAAATCCAACTACTGGTCTATTATCAATGCTGCGTTCTGATTGGTTGAGCTACTACTAGGCTATATGTAATAGCCCATGTAGTAGCGAAAAGAGCCGGATTTTTGGCGGCAAAAAAAGGATTAAAGTCTTACTTTGGAGGTTTATGGAAAGGAATAACTGTCGTGAAGTGGTGAGGAAAGTAGGTTAGCGTTCGCGACAATTTAAGCGCTTACCGGTGATAACCGTGACTGGAAGTTTTTCGTTGAAAGTCATAACAGTAGACGGTTCCCATTAATCAGAAATAATACACCATGATATATGTTTTAAAAAGGTGACGGGGGGAGGGTGAATTTTTTTTTTTTGGGGGGGGACTCCAGTTCCAGAGTAATTTTTTTTTTTTGGGGGGGGGGG